CCCCCCAAAGATTGCCGACACTCACGGTGAAAACCAGTGATTTCATATTTAGGAATGGATTCTATATCACTGCTGGGCATGACCCTTCCCTTGACACACATCCATGATAGACTTTCGAAATAAGACTAAATGGACCCTACAAAATAAAAGCCTCTTCCTTGGCCATACTCATTCATTGTGCCGTATGGCTCGTAGCTATGACCCAAACTCAACCAATTTCTTCAAATTACACTATCAAGGCCTGTTGACCACACACCTCAGTGCATATTTCTTAATCAGGTTCTAAGATTTACACTCTAACAAAGCATCTGCTAACCTCTTAATATGCAGCCTAAGCCTGCCAACGGTGCTTTCATCAACACAGCGGCTCGTAACATGCAGGTTAAATTTTTTTGATAAATTCAGCTCCTTAAGTGGTATTAGCTCTCTTTCTATAAGCTTCTCTCTCTGTCCTTCCTCTGCTTGTCATGGTCAGTCTTACACATCCTCTAAGGATAACGCTGTTTTCTTTATGCTGATCAACCGACACATTTTAAATAATTTTCCAATTGTTTTGCCAAGTCTTGACATTTCCACATATGATTTCAAAATGTTGATACTTATTCAATACCATCTTCCTAAACATTTTACTTCCCATCATTAAGCTACTACTTTTTTCTTCAACCAGATAAGATTAAAGTTTTTCTATTTTAATTTATTTTCTAATTCAGCTAATTTAATACTTTTCAGCCTATGTTGTGAACTTTGGCTTCATTCTGCTCTTTCTGGACAGGAATTAAGCTTTTCTGTTTGCTGCTAATTCATAACACGCCTGACATGTTTCTGGAAAGTAGGTGGCCCCCCTTCAAAATTTCTTTAGAACTTTTTCTAGAAACTTGGGAGACATTACATTTAGACCCTTCTAGAGATTTTTTGATATCATGTATGGTTTGGCTGTGAAGCTTTTAAGATGAGTCTGTTTCTGCCATTTTACTGCCAGATGATTCTACCCTACAAATTCTTCAGATGATTCAATTGTTTTCTGCAGTTTGAAGTTTCTGATTACTTCCTTTTACATTTTCATATGTTCTTCAGCTAATTTGTGCTTCTTTTCCTTCTCGCAGTTTCTTTTGCTAATTTTTATTATTTCGTTCAGCAAAAAAAGCATTCCCACTTTGCTGTTTCTGCGAAACAGCTTTTTCTAGTTTTATTTACTATTTTATATATGTTTCATGTTGCACGACTGTACCACAAAAAATTCCTAGTTGTGAACTTCTTCACTAACAATGGCAATAAACCCGATTCTGATTCTGATTTTCTACTCACCCCCATGCTGAACAACACTCTGGAGTACTTTTTTGATATCTCAAATGCATCTGGAGATCTGGGAGGCTTCTTGCTGTCTGCTGACATTCAAATAATGGAGGTCTATGGCGCCCGAGGCAGAAAGGTCCATAAAAGTCCACAAAAAACGTGTCAATATTCCTCCATACTGCTCGTCCAATGTATTCCAAGTGTCCTGAGTGGGTAGCGTCCATAATTTACTCGAAACGAAGTCATTTAGAATGTTTTTAGAGCATAAACAGTAGTGTATAGGATTTCCTAAAAGCGCGTTCACGACACTACAGAAACCGCGGCAGACCCACCCAGATGAAAGTGCGCTTTCAGCTCGGCAAAGAACTCATGCTCTTCCTAATCACAGAAGTCCGCAGACATTTTTCTTTCGTTGTTTCTTTCTTTGCACAGGTAAACAGCCCATTACTTCTTATACGCTTGCATTATTGGCAGAGCAGACGCTGAATGCGCACTTTCATCTGGTTTGGTCATCAGAATAAATCTGGTTGTATCTTACCACAGACTGTGGTAAGATACAACAAATGATAATTATCTTTACCAGTTATTGTAACACTACAGAGTCTCAGTTCACTCATCACTTCTGAGATTTGACTCCAAATGTGTCGTATTAAAGGCTTTTATTCTGATGTCTTCACCACAGAATGATAGAAACAAAGACTTCTCTTGAAAAAGAGCTCCATCAAGTGAAGTAAGTGTTTCTCAGAGTTGACTTTTAAATGATTCAATCACATTGATATTTACTGAAATGTGGAGGAGGGTTTGGAGTACCTCTATAATTCTGGCATCCAGGGATCCGGGTTTAACTTCACAGAAGATCATTAAATGCATGAAAGAGGATACTGTGGTGGAAGATATGTCCAACGGCTATTTGTGTATTTTGGAACTGTGCGCATGCGTCAGTGGCCCATCCTTTGCAAAAGTTCTTTATACTGGAAACGCTTTGAAATGCAGAGAAATACCTGCCTGTCGAGAGTTACCTCCCTTTTCGCACATTGATGAGGAAATGGATTTAAATATAAATGAAAAGGGAATTTGTAAACATATTCTTAATGCTTCATATTTCTTAAGCATGGATGCCCTAAAATTGAGAGTTTTGGTAGATAGATGCCTTCCATTGAGGAAGCTGGGCCTGGAGACTCTGGACTCAGGACTCTGGACTGGGCTCTCCAATCTCTGTGGGCGAGGTCGCGGAGGTGTTTAAAAGCTCCTCGGTGGCAGGGCCCCAAGGGTGGATGAGATCCGCCCGGAGTTCCTCAAGGTCCTGGATGTTGTAGGGTTGTGTTGGCTGACGCGACTCTGCAACATTGCATGGACATCAGGGGCAGTTCCCCTGGATTGGCAGACTGGGGTGGTGGTCCCCCTATTCAAAAAGAGGGACTGGACGGTTTGCTCCAATTACAGAGGAGTCATACTCTTAAGCCTCCCCGGCAAGGTCTATTCGGGGATGCTTGAGAGGAGGGTCCGTCGGATAGTCGAACCTCGGATTCAGGAAGAGCAGTGTGGTTTTCGTCCTGGTCACGGAATGCTGGACCTGCTCTACACCCTCAGCAGGATCCTGGAGGGTACATGGGAGTTCGCTCAACCAGTCTACATCTGCCTTGTGGACTTGGAGAAGGCGTTCGACTGTGTCCCTCGGGGAGCCCTGTGGGGGGTTCTCCAGGAGTACGGAGTACCGGGCCCTTTGATACGGGCTGTCAGGTCCCTGTATGACTGGTGTCAGAGTTTGATCCACATTGCCGGAAGTAAGTCGGGCTCGTTTCAGGTGAGAGTTGGACTCTGAAAGGGCTGCCCTTTGTCACCGATTCTGTTCATTACATTCATGGACAGAATTTCTAGGCGCAGCCAAGGTGTTGAGGGGATCCGTTTTGGTGGCCTTAGGATTGCGTCTCTGCTTTTTGCAGATGATGTGGTCCTATTGGCTTCATCAGGTCATGATCTGCAGCTCTCGCTGGATCGGTTCACAGCCGAGTGTGAAGCGGCCGGGATGAGGATCAGTGCCTCCAAATCCGAGGCCATGGTCTTGAGCGGGAAAAGGGTAGAGTGCCTTCTCCGGGTCGGGGGGGGTTGTCCTGCCCCAAGTGGAGGAGTTTAAGTATCTCGGGATCTTGTTCAGGAATGAGGGAAGAAGGGAGCGGGAGATCGACAGGCGGATTGGCGCAGCTTCTGCCGTGAAGCGGGCGCTGTACCGGTCCGTCGTGGTGAAGGGAGAGCTGAGTCAAAAAGCAAAGCTCTCGATTTAGCGGTCGATCTATGTTCCTACCCTCATCTATGGTCATGAACTCTGGGTCATGACCGAAAGAACGAGATTGCGGATATAAGTGGCCGAAATGGGTTTCCTCCGTAGGGTGGCTGGGCTCTCCCTTAGAGATAGGTTGAGAAGCTCTGTCATCCGGGAGGGACTCGGAGTAGAGCCGCTGCTCCTCCACGTCAAGAGGAGCCAGTTAAAGTGGCTCGGGCATCTGGTCAGGATGCCTCCTGGACGCCTCCCTGGTGAGGTGTTCCGGGCCTGTGCCACCGGGGGGGGGGCCCCTGGGAAGACCCAGGACACTCTGGAGGGATTATGTTTCTTGGCTGGCCTGGGAACGCCTTGGGGTTCCTCCAGAGTGGCTAGAAGAAGTGGATTGGGAGAGGGAAGTCTGGGGCTCCCTTCTTAAGATGCTGCCCCCGCGACCCGACCCCGAATAATCGGAGGACGATGGATGGATGGATGGATGGATGGATGGATGGATGGATGGATGTGGATGGATGGATGGATGGATGGATGGATGGATGGATGGATGGATGGATGGATGGATGGAAGGAAGCTGAGAAATACCTGTCTGCCGTAACAACCACGCTCCGATTGGTTTATTTACAGCAGTAGGCTAGAAAATAACCCTGGTTAAACATTTACCAATATAGACATGTTATACATCCTTAGAAAGCTTTGATTTTCCACAATTCAACCATCAAGTTCATTTTATGGACACCATGAGCACCAAAGCACAATTGATGAAGATATAGTATCTTGTTAAAACAAAATGTCTAGAATAAAGCTCAGACTTCCTACCTTTGAAGCGATCCTGAGGCCGTATTATAAATCCAATCTTTATATTGTCTATATTCTATTTGTCCGTAAGGGTCAATGCATTAAAGGTAATCCAGCATATTTATAATAAAAATATTCCATGATGAGAAAATCATCACATAAATCAGTTTTTTACCTTCAGAGATGCTCGATACCCATAGCTAATGCTAACCGTCTTGCTAATTACCTTAGCCTTGACAAAATGTTTTCTTAACCGTTTAGGTTTGTAATAATTATTTTTTCTCATTGATGCTCCAGTTTAAACAAAAGATTAAACAAAAAGCTCAAAAAAGGCAGCAGCAACAAACGAGCGTAGGAGTAACTTCTTTTTGCTTCCGCGTAATGGAGGACCGCTAGCTAAACAGCGTATGAGTTACGCTTGGAGCCTACGTAAATAACATCATGGCGGTACGTACGCAAAATGTTTGATTGACAAAGAAGTAGCCAATCCACTTTCGACAGTAAGCAAAGTGGATTTGCTAATGTATTGTAGGCCCCACCACGGCCAGAGATTATGGATTAATTTCTTTGGGGGGTGGATACCATAAATGCAAGAATGTCATCCATCAATTAATTCATTTTAGAAGAATCTTGAAACTCAATGTTATGTTAAGTTATGGTCAATATTTAGTTTTAATATATAAAGTTTTGTTGCCCAGTTTCTGTATGAGCTGGGTTGCAGTACACATGCACTTGAGGATTTTCAAACATTTATTCTTCAGGTCTGAGCTCAAACAGAAAGAAGATGAACTAGAATCAGTTAATAAAAGGTATTGTTCACACAAGAAGATAACATACTGTTACTGGTGATTCGGTGCTGTGAAAAACATGATCTGTTTTATCTTAAACTCAGACTGACTGAGACAAAAGCTTCTAATGAAAGTGAGATCCAGAAAATCAGGTTAGTGTTGCTCAGAGTCTGCATTCACATTAATGACTTATAACTTCAAACATCAATTCCACTTCCTAAAGCTTTTTATGGATTTCAATAAGGATGGCAATTAATTCTAGTGTTTCTCAGAAAATGTTGAAATGGTTTATTTTCTCCTCTACAGGTCTGCTTTAGAAGAAGAACAAGGAGAAGTAAAATCAGCCAATCAAAGGTAATGCTAAAAGGCTAAAAGAAAACAAGATAGTTTAAACTTTTTGTTTTCTTATTTTCTAAACTGATCACTGCATGAAAAGTGAGATTTTCGTCCCCGTAAACCCCTGTAAACTCCCGCAGATCTCCCAGATTTTTGTCAGTTTCCGACAATTTGCAACCCGCGCTTGTCCGCGTTTGTCGTGCCACAAATTGTCGGAAACGGACTCTGACGTATGTGGAGAGCGATCAGCTGTACTAATGGCCCTAATTAGCATATGAATGCAGCAAACCCGCGCGGCTGGCCAGGTCTGGCTTGAATAACCTTCTCAGTATTGGCTGAAACCACTATTCTCAAACAAGTGAAATCGCTCGTGATTGGCAGCAAAACCACACGGGGCCACGCCAGGCTTTAATTTTCTTACTGAGTATTGGACGGAACCACTTCTTTTTAAACAAGTAAAGTCGCTCGTGATTGGTTGGCATATATATATATTTACATATAAATTTACATATATATATATTTATGAATATATATTCATTCATTCATATATTTATTCATTCATATGCTGTGTATTTATGTTATCCTACACTACTACACAATTATTAGGCTACCATCAAGGACATGAATGAATTTATACAGGAAATGAACATTTGCCAGGAAGCTTTTTATGCAAAGAAAGAGCTTTATTAAAACACACACAACTATATACAACGCGTATCCAAACACATGCGTTTCTAAAAATTACAAGTCCGTGAACGGTCCTTTTGCCTCCTCGGGGTTGGAGGTAACTGGCAGCATTCCCTCCGAGGCAGGTCCGATGTGCAGACGCCTACTGTGCGTGGCCCTGTACTTCGGCATCGCTTCTAACCGGGACTGCAGCTTAACACAGAGTTCAGTGAGATCCGGCCTACGAAATGGCGGCGACCGTACAATCCATCCAGAGACACCGCCAACGACGCCATCTTCTTCGTCGGACATGAGGCCGACGGTGGCGGACTTCCAGAGTTCCACTTCCTCATCTGCTAGCACACTCTGCCTCGCTTTCAGCAGCAAAAAAAAAAACAATGAATCAGCGCACTGCGTATGGACACAACACATCTACAATGCACCTGAAAATAGTCACCAAATAAAGTCTTAAACCCCCTTCTTCTG